TTTTCCCTTTCTAGACTTCCCAACAACCCCAAATTTGAACATTTATCAATACCACAAAATATTCTCAACTCAACTCAAGGTAAAGCTTTTCAAAAAGGGTTTTCAAATCATGTTCAAAGCTAAAGGTTCAAAGGATAGAACACATAGTGTTCTCTTTTACTGGGCTAAAATCATGCATATTGGCTAAAAAGGTTTTCCAGCAAATGCCTTGATCATATGACACATACAAGCAAATGATTCAATCATAGAAAACATGGGCAAAGTCACTCATGCTTTCAAAGTAATAACATTCAATCAAAAACTCTGGATCTTAAAAACCTCACATACAGGCTCATTTAACCATTCCACATACACATCCTGGTTAGCATCATAATCAGAATCACAACATCATGCATTTGTTCACAAAGCTTGTAAACCATCACCTGTATCTCAGTATATAATGCACAATCTCAACATCAATCAATTATCAAAGCATCATGAAGTAATACTCATCATGCATAAGTCACAAGCAAACCATCATAACAAACACAGTTTCAAATTGAGTACATCAAACCCTATTCTACTAACAAAAGCAAATAAGTTCAATGAGTTTAGAACACTAGGGTGCCTCCCAGTAAGCACTTGTTTAACGTCTCGAGCCTGACCCAAAATCCTCCAGTACCCATCAGTAGGTGTAAACCTTTTCTTACCAACACCCATCATTAGGTGTAAACGAACATAATATCCTTCAGTAGATACTCTACCACCTAACATCCTTCAGTAGATGTAAACCCTGTAACAAGTTTGTACCCAAAACAAAAAATACCAAAAGTTCATAATTACATCACCAAACCAAAAATAAAAGTTCTTAAATCACTGGGTTGCCTCCCAGCAAGCGCTCTTTTAACATCACTAGCTTGACCCAATCAAGTTCAAGGATCAACCAACTTCATCACTGTAGACAACCACTCTACTTCTCCTCCCAGATAATGCTTAAGACGTTGACCATTCACCACCCAGCTTCTCTGTTGATCATTAGCAGCTGGATACCCCAATTCAATTGCTCCATGTGGACACACACTTTTCACTATGAATGGTCCTGACCATTTTGACTTCAACTTTCCAAGAAAAAACTTCAATCTTGAATTGAATAATAACACCTGTTGCCCTGTAGTAAAGACTTTTTTTTATCAACTTCCTGTCATGATAGCATTTTACCTTTTCTTTGCAGCTTTTGGACAAATCATGTGCATGCAACCACATCTCTTCAAGTTCCATCATCTGCCTTCTACGCTTATTTTGAGTTTAAGAAGGATCAAAATTCAAAAATTTAAGCGCCCATAAAGCTTTGTGCTCCATCTCCACTGGAAAATGACATGCTTTCCCACAGACTAACTGATAAGGCGATAAACCCATAAATGTCGTCATTGCAGTCCTGTATGCCCAGAGAGCATCATCAAGTTTCTGTGACCAGTCCTTTCTCTATACAACAACTATTTTCTCTAAGATCGCTTGATGTCTCTGTTAGACACCTCAGCTTGCCCATTAGTTTGTGGATGATAAGGTGCAGCTACCTTATGTGTCACACCATAATGTTTGAGTACCTTCGCTAATTGGTAATTACAAAAGTGAGATCCTCCATCACTAATAAGTACTCTAGGAGTTCCAAAGCGTGAGAAGATTTGCCTCTTTAGAAATTTAATCACAGTGTTGGCATCACTTTTGGGACACGCTGATGAGTCAATATTTTCTTGACTTCACTTAGCTTATTGTGCTAGATTTAATTAAGGAATTGTGCTTGAATGTCCAATGTTTCTTCATTTTTTTTATTATGCTTAATTTGACCAGAAATTCTTATTTTAATTAATTTAAATTATCTAAAACTAATTATTTGCATTATTAATTGTAGAGAAATTGTTGGATAAAATTGAGGGATTAATTTCTTTTGGAGGTGCACAAAGAAGCATGCTAATTTTACGGCCTACCTAAGTTAAAGGGTTTTTGGCTTAAAAAATGAGGTAGCATGCTGTCACGAATAAGGGGGATTTTGAGGTCCAGCAAGTGAAGGGGTTACGAAAAGAAGAAAAGCATTGCTGGACCCATTTTGGGCTTGAACAGAAGTGGTGCTGGAATGAGAAAAGAGGGAGGTCCTTGGACTAAAGAAGGGCAACATCCAGAAGCTTGGAGCCTCAACACGTCCAAGTGGTGTCTCGGCCCATGGGAAATCATTATTCGCACGTTCAACTTAGGAGAAAAAAAGAACTTCATGTGGAGAGGTGCATAATAGAGAGCACCGGATTCGGTCCAGCAAGCATCACCGTCCAGCTTTTGAGAAGGCCTGCACGTCTTGCTGAAAAGAGGGAGGTGCTTGGAGAAGAATGATGGGCTTGGATTCGTGCGGACAGCAGCATCTTGGGAGGTATACAAGGAAGGCAGCGGTGCACCCAGCAGCCTTGTGTCCAGCAAAGAAGCGGTCAAGCAGCTTGGGAGAAAAACACAAGCGGGCTTTGGACGTCCAGGGGGCTTAACGCATCCAGCAAAGGGGGCACATGTTGGAAAAAAAACGTGGACCAGCCGCCACTTGTTAGAGGAGCTGAGGTTCGTCCAGCAGCGCAACACACGATAGGGGACTCACTTCTTCATTTTAAGGGCACATGAGTGATTGAAGAATGGGAGTCAACAACCACCCACGTTGGGTCTCTCTCGGTTTTCTACTCCAGCAGCACGAATGTTTTCATTTTTCTTAAGAGAAGAGGATGGTTATTGAATGGAGGGCACACAATAGCCGAGATGAAGGGAGGAATTTTTGGAGATCCAGAATGTAGGTCCACCATGGTTGGAGACGGTGATGAGAGAAGAGACGTATTCCATTTGAATTTGAGTTTGCTACTGTTACGTCCAACATAAGGAAAGGCACCATGGTGATTTTTGATTTTGGTTTTTAGCTTTTAAAGGACACACTCATTTTTTTTTGCTTTGAACGCTGTTACAATTTGTAGAATGGAGGAAGCACATTTTATTTTCTTTCTTTAAAATAGAAGCACATGGTCACGGCTAGAAAAAGTAGGAAGTTGGGTGCATACAGGAGAAGCAAGCAGCGGTGATTAAATTCCTTTTCTTTGCATTCATTTGGTTTTGGAGAAAAAAAAATGTTGATTCATTGTTGGAATGCATACGGATGCCACGTCCATGGGAGAAGAACTCCAAAGATGCGTTTTATGATTTAGCAACTTCATTTCCAATTTATGCCTTTGCTTATTTGTCCGCTGCATCTCCAATTTATGCCTTTGCTTATTTGTCCGCTGCATCTGACGTGGTTAACGCCTTTATCTTCGAAATTTTATTTCAAATTGAAATGAGCATTAATCTTTTTAATTTAAGTGTTGCATTTTAAGAGCTTTAATTGTATTTAAATATTTATCTTTTCCATTGTTGAGTTTACTTTTTTCGTTCATTATGTTGTTTATTCTAATCAGCTTCTTCATCTTCCTGCATTTCCAATTTCCTTACTTGTTTTAGAGACCGTCTCAAAGTAGCATCACACATTAGTTCAAAATTCTGATTCCAATTTGGTGCTACAATCATTGGAGCCGACACTAATTTACTTTTCAAAATATCAAAGACTTTCCTCAATGGTACATCTTTAACCAGTAGATTACTCAATGGTTTTGCAATTTTTGAGAAGTCTTTAATAAATCTTCTATAGAATTCGGCATTGCCTAAGAAACTTCTGATTCCCTTCACATTTGTTGGCGGAGGGAGTTTCTCAATGACCTCTACTTTGGCTTTATCAACTTCAATCCCCTTAGCAGAGATCTTGTGCCCCAACACAATTCCTTCTATTACCATGAAATGACATTTCTCCCAGTTAAGCACAAGATTTGTTTGAACACATCTTTTGAGAACAACATCCAAATTCGCCAAACACCTTTGGAAAGAATCTCCAAAGACTGAAAAATCATCCATGAAGACTTCAATGCACTTCTCTATGAGATCTGCAAAAGTTGCTTGCATACATCTTTGAAATGTGACTTGAGCATTACATAACCCAAATGGCATCTTTCTGTAAGCAAAGACACCAAAAGGACAAGTGAATGCCGTCTTCTCTTGATCTTTTGGATCTACCACAATTTGATTGTATCCAGAGTATCCATCCAGAAAACAATAAAAAGCGTGACCTGCTAATCTCTCCAGCATCTGGTCTATGAAAGGAAGAGGAAAATGATCCTTCCTAGTGGCTTTGTTCAGCTTCCTGTAATCAATGCACATTCGCCATCCAGTAACAGTCCGAGTAGGAATAAGCTCATTCTTATCATTATAGATTACTATCATCCCACCTTTCTTTGGAACTACCTGTATTAGACTTACCTATTCACTATCATTATAGCTTCCAAGTGCTTCAATACATCTTTTCTAACAACCTCCTTCATGACAGGATTTAGCCTTCTCTGTGGTTGAGCCCTTGGCCTATAGTCATCTTCCATAAAGATCCTGTGCATGCAATAAGTTGGACTTATACCTATAAGATCTGAAATTGACCACCCAATAGCTTCTTTGTTGGCTTTTAATATTTCTACCAACTTTTCTTCTTCTTCAAGAAGCAAAGAATTACTGATGATGACTGGCTTTGTTCCATCTTCTTCTAGAAAAACGTACTTCAAATATGATGGTAACATTTTTAATTCTAACTTCTTTGCTTTGACTTCTTCTTTGATATCAATTGTCTCAAACTGAACATCCTCCACTGGAATCTCCTTCAATGTCTCCAAATTCGTCATACATTCATCAATTAGTTTCTCTTCTTCTTCATTTAAGTCTTCATAAGCATCAATAAGTGTTTTCTCTAGTGGAGATGAATAACGTACCATCCTTTCTTGCACCATACAAACTTCATCAAGTATATCAAGTTGAAAACATGCTTTATCATCTTTAGGATGTGTCATGGCTTTGAATACATCAAAATTCACTTCTACATCTTGAACTCTCACTTTAAGCTTACCATTCTCCACATCAATTAGAACTCAGGCAGTCTTTATAAATGGTCTCCCAAGAATGAGTGGCACATCTCCATTCTCCTCCATCTCCATTATAACAAAATCCACTAGAAATACAAATTTGTCAACCTTTACCAGCACATCTTCAACTACCCCATAAGGATATTTAAGAGACATGTCTGCCAATTGGAGTGCCATTCGTGTGGGTTTGAGTTCCAACCCTTCAATTCTTTTAAACATAGAAAGCGACATTAAATTAATGCTAGCTCCCAAATCAATCAACGCCTTTCCAACTTCCAACTCTCCTATAGTGCATGGAATAGTGAAGCTCCCTGGATCTTTAAACTTGGGAGGTAATTGTTGTATGATTGCACTACAGTTAACTTGCACTTCAATGGTCTCTATTTCAATGTATTTTCTTTTCTTTGTAAGGAGTTCCTTCAAAAAAATTTCATAGGATGGCATATGTTGCAATGCTTCAGAGAAAGGAATGGTAATCTCTAGTTTTTTAAACATCTCCATGAACCTCTCCAACTGTTTTTCCTTCTCCTTCCTTGAATAAGTCTTTAGATAAGGAAGGAGTTTTTCAACTATTTTTTCTTTTTCTCTCTCTCCTCTCTCCCTTTCTTTCTCTCTCAATCTTATCTTTCCACTCAAGTATTTCTTTCCCACTCTCATTTTCTCTCTCCTTTCTCTCTATTTTTCTTTCCTCTAACACTTTACCACTTCTAGTAATAATGGTTTTACACTCTTCACTCAAATTACTCTTTGGATCCTTCTTACAACCCTCCATCTTATTGAACATTTGCCCAATGTGCATCTTCATACTATTAAATGCAGCCTCTACATTCTTACAACAAGAGACGCTCATTTTCATGAATTGCTGGAAAGTATCTTCAAATTTTGTGGTTTTCTCATATGGAGTAATTTGTGGCTTCCACTGTTTCCACTGCTTTTGAACCATTGAAATATCATATATCTCTTGAGGTAATAAAGATAGCTTCTTTGTCACTTCTTCCAACTGCTGAGAGATGATCTTATTTTGTGCAAGCAAGGCGTCTTGAGATTGCAATTGTAGAACTCCCATCTGTTGAATTGGAGCTCCTATCTCATAGTGCAACTTGTTATCATTAGTAGCCATATTCTCTATTAACTCGGTTGCTTCCTCTAGAGTCTTCCATTTGATATTACCTCCAGTTGAGGAATCTAACATCAACTTGGTTTGTGAACCAAGACCTCCAAGGAAAAGAAGGACTATTGTTGCTTCATCAAAGCCATGCATGGGAGTCTTTCTCAATAAGCTTTTATACTGATCCCATGCTTGACCTAATGTCTCCTCCAAACCTTGTCTAAAATAAGAAATATCTTGCTTCCTTTTGTTGATTTTAGATTGTGGGAAGTATTTGTTTAGAAACTTTGAAACCACGACTTCCCACTTAGTAAAGCTACCCTTTGGAAAAGAGTTCAACCATAACTTAGCATTGCCTCCCAATGAGAAAGGAAACAAACTAAACTTTATTGCTTCATCCGACACCCCATTAATCTTCACATTGAATGTGGTGAGATGTTCATATGGACTTTCATGTGATAGCCCATTAAATTGGTTGCTCTTCACCAATTGTATCAATGCCGACTTCACCTCCATGTTTGCACCATTGACCCTCGGCCTTGCTATACTATTAAAATGTTGAGGGCCAACCACAATGGTGTAATCCTCAAGAGTGCGTCTACCATTATTCTCCTCGGCCATATCTTCAATGCTTTGATTTGACCCTTGTGGGGAAGGTTGTAAAAGTATCTCCGGAGGAGGGAATAATTCTCTTGAAGTTAGAACTCTCCTCCTCCTTCTACTTTCGTCCAAGCCTTCAAGAAGAGGTTCTGAAGTGATTTTGCTCCTAGTTCGAACTGTATCCTGCATACACAAGAAAACAAGTTCCTAGAAACAATTGTTAGCACAAAAAGATAGAAAAGTTAGATTTAAAAGATAAAAAGATAGAATTGAAAAGATAAGAAGATAGAAATAAAAACCAAAAAGATCAAAAGATAAACTAAAAAGATAAAAAGATAAATAAAAAAGCAAAAAGATAGAAAGATAAAAATAATAAAAAACTCAAGTCAAAGTTAATCAATAATCACACAAATAGAATAGTTAAACCACGAGTCCCCAGCAACGACGCCAAAAACTTGATAAACAAATGTTTAATCCTTGAAAACGGAGTCAAAAACGTGTTAAGACCTCGCCAGGTGTACCAAATCGTATCAAGTAATAATAAATGGTAAGACCAAGTATCGTTTCCCAAGAGACTCACGACACTAAACAGTTATGTGATTAGTCAACTACTTAAGACTCTAAAGAACAAATTTTGGGGTTTTTTAACGCAAATGCAATAAAATAAACATGAATTCAATTTGATCATTGAGGCTAAACACAAGAATGAATGGATGAAGTTGATGATATTGTATTTGGGTTTAGGTTTCACCTAATTTACTCTCATGCATATATGAATTCATCTTCTTCATTAATGTTAATGTCACTTTCTAATTTACCTTAAACCCGATGTCTCGGTGAAGAAAGCCTACTCCTAATCACTAGTTTACCATGTCTTGTCTCCCTAGCAATTATTCATGCATTACATTCGCACAGAAGCTTAAAGGCAACCAACTCTCATATCCCTATGTCTAGGCAATACTGCTTTTGGAGAATTTCCCTAGATCTAGATTTCTCCGTATGTGTCCATATCGACAAAATCAATGATCATGCAATTGAATGAGTTAAACAAAGCATGCAAAGAGCAAAGAGGAAAAACCCTAACAATTAATGAAGTAAAGCATATATAATCAAGAATCAATTCAATACATGAGAGTTTAAGAGGTTACATCTTTCCCAACAACAATGGAGGTTTAGTTCACCATAGTCATGGTGAAACTAGATGAACAATGGAATGAAAGAATGGAAGAGATAGAAAAACCCTAGAAAGAGAAGAGGAGTGTTGTCGTCGTCTCCAAATCTACCTCAAGGGGTGAAAAGTGTTTCTGTGCTCAAGCCATCAAAAGATATGATCCCTAGGACGTGCAAGTCCTTAAATAGAACATAAAAATAACAGAAAATAGGTCCAAACCAGTAAAAATAAAAGAAAACAAGTCCAAGCCCATAACAATGGCGCTCAGTGGCACTTTTTCCGCTCAGCGGTAAATGCGGCTCTTCATAACGAAGCTCAACTGCATTTTTAGCCCTCAGCGGTGATTTTGGCACTTCAAAACTGTCGCTCAGTGCAACTTTTTCTACACTCTAGTTGACTTTTCTGCATTCTGGTTGACTTTTCTGCATTTCAACCATTCGGTACTTTAACTCTTCTTTCAAATCATTCCAATAGCCTACAAAATCAAGGGATTCTAGCACAAAATCATTAAATTCACCTTCAACTCTCTTATTCACAAAACTAAAGCAAAAACATGAGTTCAAGCAAGCTTATAAGTCAAAAAGGATGTTTTTAATATCAAAATTAAGTATAAAAATAACGGTTTTTCAACCGTTATCACACTCATGCAATTCATAAATCATGATATTGAATGAGTTAAACAAAGCAAGCATTATAACAGATGAATTACTCTAACAATTAATGAAAAAACATGTATTATTAATAATCAACTCAAATACATGAGAGTTCACAAGGTTACATCATCCCCCAACAACAAATAGTGTTTAGTTGACCATAAACATGGTGAAACTAGAGGAATAATAGAGAAGAATGAGATAGAAAAACCCTAAAAGTAGAAGATGGAAGCTCCCGAATCCAAATCTGCCTCTAGAGACTGAAAGAGTGTGCTGCTGCGCTCCCTCTGCCAAGGATACAAAACCTAGGGCGTCTGGGTCTTTTAAATAGAGTCGAATCAAAATAGAAACAAGGTCCGACCTATGTCGTTGGCGCTCAAGCACCTTAATTGGGCGCCCGGGCGTCGAACAGTACTTTCTGGCGCTTAAGCTCACAAAAGGGGTGCTCAGGCGGTGTGTGGTGAACTTCTGGCGCTCAGCCCCCCTTGAGTGATGAAGTTGCTCCAGCAGAAGTGAGGATTGAAGGCAGTGGAATGATGAATGGAATCATGAGCAATGTTGAATATGGCTCACGAGAAGCAGTGGCAGCGAACTAAGATGTGATTTAGCAGCAGCAGTATAGTTAATGCAGTAGAGGCAGATCTGGATGCAGAGATGGATGTAGAGATGGATGCAGAGCTCTATGGTGAGTGGATTATCTAACTCAGAAAGCCTTCACTGGAAGGAAGCTAGAAGGAGAAGGAAAGCTCAATAAGAGGTGACTTTTGGCAGAGTTCTGGTTGCTGGAAAAATGCATCAGCATAGTAAAACTCCATATATTCAAAAGTGAACTTCAAGCTTTGCTTATGAGATTTTATAGATCAATCTCAAAGCTTAAGCAAGCCTTTTACACGTTTTCTTTAGATCTGAAATGTTAACCATGTGCTAAATGTGTGGCTTCTAGAAAGCCTTATGAAACACGTTGATAATTGAGTTTTACATGTAAAAAATGAAAAATTACTAATGCCACCCCATAGAAGGATAAGCACACACCTTCTTGTGTGTAAATGTCCATTTTACCCTTCTCCATGTTTTGGCAAATTTGGAACATCTTCTTGTTCTCCAATTTTCCATCCAAAAATAGCAAATAGTATTTGGCCTTGGGGAGAATACTCATCTTGGAGCTTTTTGGCCATTCCTCTTGTGATGGGTCCTATGGTGTTAGACCTTCTTGTATCATNAGTGGCTTTGTTCAGCTTCCTGTAATCAATGCACATTCGCCATCCAGTAACAGTCCGAGTAGGAATAAGCTCATTCTTATCATTATAGATTACTATCATCCCACCTTTCTTTGGAACTACCTGTATTAGACTTACCTATTCACTATCATTATAGCTTCCAAGTGCTTCAATACATCTTTTCTAACAACCTCCTTCATGACAGGATTTAGCCTTCTCTGTGGTTGAGCCCTTGGCCTATAGTCATCTTCCATAAAGATCCTGTGCATGCAATAAGTTGGACTTATACCTATAAGATCTGAAATTGACCACCCAATAGCTTCTTTGTTGGCTTTTAATATTTCTACCAACTTTTCTTCTTCTTCAAGAAGCAAAGAATTACTGATGATGACTGGCTTTGTTCCATCTTCTTCTAGAAAAACGTACTTCAAATATGATGGTAACATTTTTAATTCTAACTTCTTTGCTTTGACTTCTTCTTTGATATCAATTGTCTCAAACTGAACATCCTCCACTGGAATCTCCTTCAATGTCTCCAAATTCGTCATACATTCATCAATTAATTTCTCTTCTTCTTCATTAAAGTCTTCAAAAGCATCAATAAGAGTTTTCTCTAATGAAGAAGAATAACGTACCATCCTTTCTTGCACCATACAAACTTCATCAAGTATATCAAGTTGAAAACATGCTTTATCATCTTTAGGATGTGTCATGGCTTTGAATACATCAAAATTCACTTCTACATCTTGAACTCTCACTTTAAGCTTACCATTCTCCACATCAATTAAAACTCAGGCAGTCTTAATAAATGGTCTCCCAAGAATGAAAGGCACATCTCCATTCTCCTCCATCTCCATTATAACAAAATCCACTAGAAATACAAATTTGTCAACCTTTACCAGCACATCTTCAACTACCCCATAAGGATATTTAAGAGACATGTCTGCCAATTGGAGTGCCATTCGTGTGGGTTTGAGTTCCAACCCTTCAATTCTTTTAAACATAGAAAGCGACATTAAATTAATGCTAGCTCCCAAATCAATCAACGCCTTTCCAACTTCCAACTCTCCTATAGTGCATGGAATAGTGAAGCTCCCTGGATCTTTAAACTTGGGAGGTAATTGTTGTATGATTGCACTACAGTTAACTTGCACTTCAATGGTCTCTATTTCAATGTATTTTCTTTTCTTTGTAAGGAGTTCCTTCAAAAAAATTTCATAGGATGGCATATGTTGCAATGCTTCAGAGAAAGGAATGGTAATCTCTAGTTTTTTAAACATCTCCATGAACCTCTCCAACTGTTTTTCCTTCTCCTTCCTTGAATAAGTCTTTAGATAAGGAAGGAGTTTTTCAACTATTTTTTCTTTTTCT